GCATTAAATTTCAATTCATTTGAATTTTTCAACTTCGTAAAAATTGTGGTTTTTCCGAAGTTTTGGATTGCTGATGTTGTGTTACACCCGGTGAATGCGTGTGCAAGTAACACATAATTAAAAAGAGTACCATCACTTGTCTTTACAACTTTCAGAATTTTATAAGATACTCTTTGATCTGTAGCCTTATTTCGTGTCAATATTTTTAAAAATATGCATTGAGGTTGTGCTCTAGTGTGTACATGATGTATCAATAGACATAAAGTATCAGTGTCATCCGAATAAATTGTGACTGACTCAACGTTGTCAATCTCAAGCGCTAGCTTGTGTCTGCATCACTGGGACAACAAATAACTTTAAAACTATTTTTTCGTAACTTCAATGCGAAAAGCCTGACAAAATCATTTTTGTTTTTGTAGTTACTTAGGAAAATACTTCTTTCTGCTGAGCATTGATTGAGATCATTGATTTCAATTATTTGTGATATCTTACCAGATCGCTTTTAGTGAATACTATCTTTAGTGGATGACTGATAAACATCAAAAATGATTGTGTAAGTTGTAAATGTTGAGAAAAATCAATGTATTTCTGAAACATTTTAGTGAAAAATTTCACTAAACAACTCTTTTTTTTCCAATAGCATCACCACAATAATGCGCCCCCATCAGTAACCTTGATTGATACAGGTTCTTTTATTGGTGTGACATTATTGAGTATGAATGTTTTAAATGTTGACTTTTGTGCTGATCTCATGACACCTCCTTTATATAAGGATGTTGGACATTATAATAACTTTAATATATTGAAAGCAACTCTCCACTTTATTCTCTGGATTTTTTTCAACAACAACAACCATTTTTAGAAAAAGTGTTAATGGGTTGATTGTAACAATTTCGTCTTGAATAGATACGCAGGAGTATAAGCTCTTGAGTATTATTATTTTATTTTTTTGTTTGAAAGAGTAATTTGTATAGATTTTATCATTCAACTCTTTGTGTATTGATGCTTTTATCTCATCTGATCAATCACAAGTAATATTTTTCTGATTATCAACCAAACCTGAGTCGAAACTAACAAGTTGATCTCCGACGATGAATAGGTTATGAGTGAAAAACCATTATTATATATTTTTTAAGTTGTCACTATCACGTTTCATTCTTCCAAGGTACATTTCTCTATGTTTGTAAACAGATTTATGCGGAGATTTTAGAGTGCTCATCGCATCACTTACTTTTACGCATCAATGCAATGTTTTCGTTCACACCCTCGACACGTTTTCAGTCAAGCCTTTACGAATAACTCCACCTCTACTATAAAGTGACTTCATGTCTGTTCAATTGCTATGTCTGTTCAATTGCTTCAAGTCTGTTCAATTGCATGTCTGTTCAATTGCTTCAAGTTCATGCAATTGCATGTCTGTTCAATTGCTTCAAGTCTGTTCAATTGCTAGATCAGTCCATATCCCTGACCATTTTTTTTTTGGTTCTTCTAACAGTGTGGTTACCTGCTATGTATTGTACATAAGCTAGAGAATGTTCTGTTTGAAAGACATCAACGGTCTGAAGGTAAAGCCTTCACAATTTTGCATAGTTATTGTGCCCTGTTGCAGCAAAAAGATTGAGCGTGTACTTTGTTCCAGAAATATGCAATGACCAGTTACTTGTTTTCTCTGCTCTAATAAACTTGTGGCCACAGTTACGTATTGTACATAGTGTAACCATAAAAATGATGTTTATGAGTTTAATGAAAGATAATCTTTTTTCTTTGTAAACCAGTTTAGCAATCTAACCGCCAGATTATTACTTTCTTGAACACAAGGGTCTTCTGAACCATACATTTTTAAAATATTTTTCTGCTTACTATCATTCAAATCATCGCAAAAATTCTTTAATATCAGTGAATTTATTGCTAATGCACATAAAATATGGCCTCGTATAACGCGTGAAAATGCTTCTCCTGATTGCAGGTGCCCTATTGTTAAAGGAGCATAGACCGTTTCGAGAGCACTTCTCAAACACCTTCCTTCCATCCTACATCCAATTAAAGCTAGAAAACTCATAAGTTGATGGAAACCTCCAAGATGAACAAATATGTCTAAGTTTTTTTTTGAGTTTTGTTTTTTGTTTCGTATGCTTTTGTGTAAAGGTGCTGATCAAATGTTATGGATGGCATTGTAACATTCACTACTTTGGAGTGATCAATGATGAAGCAAAGTAATGAATATAGGGCTGTCAAATCAGTAGCGTCACAGGTAGTATAGCAATGTTAGATGTTTTACAATATTATTTGTTGCAGAACTCATCTAGCCAGACCAACTTGGACATGGGTTTTTGAAAAGGTAGCCAATGTTCCATAGAAGATTAATAAAACGGGCTTGATTTTTTTCCTAAAATTAAATAAGACAGTTAGCTTTCAAACTTTGTAGAGGTAAATATTTTTTTAAATTGTAGTATGCATAACAAATCTGAATGACTGATTTGAATATTGTTTTTGTTAATGAAGGTATGTCAGGTATGTAGTACTGCCTAATTATTATCCCATCATTTGACTTGATATTTGACTATAGTTTCTTTTTATCTCTTGAAATTTTATTTCTTTTGAACGAAATGTCTGTGAATTTTTCATTTGCAATTGTAATTGACCCAACTCCATGGTGCGTATTTTTTCCATCAACAATAGCATTATCATGGTCTGTGTTGTGAGCTACAAATTGAAGAAAGGAGGTTCCCTTTCCAAAGATGATCTCGTCGATAGTATCATGCTTTACAAAATTCTGTTTGAAACGGATAACCTTAAAAAAATTACATAAACATCGGTCTTCTCTATTACGGCATATTTCGATGGTGGAAGTAAGTATGGCTGATTTTTTGGTAGGTACTTCTTCAAATTTGTTGCGATTTGAATTTTTTCTGTCATAGATACAATCACCGCCACAATAAAAACACTGTGTTTTGAAATCAAAAAATTCTATTTTGCCTCTATTAATGATTTTTATTGATCTTTTTCGAGAGCAATTTTTTAATTTCCTACGGGATAAATTGATATGAGTGTTTGCTTTTGTTCTTTTGTTCAGTTTAAGCTTATCAACTAAAGTATCTAAATTAAGTTTCACAACATGCTCTATAAAAGCAGTCACGGAATGTTTTTTCTTGCTATAATCAGAATAGTTTGAGCCTACATGATTTAAAAGATCATGTGTTCTTACACCTCCGCATTTAACACATAATGTTATTCCATTTAATGTCAGTTTTAATTTCACCTTCCATTATTATTAATCTTTAAATATAAAGACAGTCAACTATACAAAATAGTTTTTTAATATCTAATTCAATATTTAATTCACAGCTGTTTCAAATACCTTGATTCATATAAATATTTTTAAAACTATTTTCCTAATAACTACGATTTCAAAGAGAAATTCATTTTTTTAATAAAATGAATAGGTAAGCTTTCGAAAATATTTAATTTCTTTTTTTCGGTCATTCAATAACATCATGGCAAATGAATTAAACTTTTTTTTTTTTAATAATGAAGCTATGATATTTAAGAACACTGTTTCATGTTTATTTAATTTTTTTAATAAAATGAAAAAAACCTACATTAACATTTTGATCCGCCATTTTTTTTGCTCAACTCCGAAAAAGTTACAACCACACCATTAGAGAGCTGATAAAATTATTTTTCTAATGATTTATAATATGAGGAGTGGATTTGCAAAACCAGATAATTCACTTTTTTTTCATTCTGAGATAATGGCAAAAAATGTTTTCCAGTAAATCGATTAGCTCAAAATTAAAAAATTAAAAGTTAAACTATAGGTATCATTAAAAAAATGTTTCAGACAAAAATTTGAATATCGCGCTTTGTTAATCTTACTTTTTTTAAAAAATGAAAAAACGTTTCATCTGGTTTTGCACGCCAATTATTTTTTTTATCTGGTTTTGATTGTAAATTTATTTCCAACTAGTTTTCAAAAGAGCTTTATGAAGTCAATTTGACTAGTGAAAATTTTAAAACTCAAAATAATTGGGCAAAACGTTCCTCTGCCATAGAAAATAAGTAATTTCAATGTTTGATACTTTTATAGGATTGATGAAGTTAAAACTCAATTGTAACTATTTAAATATGGCTTTTTTAATTTTAGTGAGTTTTTTTGTATGTGAATTTTTTCTTAAATAATGTCCTCCAGTTTTTAAAACAGAATATTGATTAGATAAAATTTTTGTCTTGTTTTGCATCGACAATAATTTTTTTTAACTGGTTTTGCACGGACTAAATAATTTAAGGGAGGTAAAATGTTATTAAATAGTGGCTTTTAAATTTAAAAAAAAAAGTGAATTATCTGATTTTGCAAGTCCACCCCTCATATGTTTCTATAAATTTTTTTTCTAGGTTTCACTATTGTTTGGCTAAATTCTACAGTACTATTACCCCGCATGCGGGGTAACTAGCATTTTTAAAATAGTTTTTAAACATTGGATATCAAGAAAAAGAAAAAAAAAAAGAGGGGGAGTGTTACTTTAAAAAAAAAAGAGGGGGGAGTGTTACTTTAAAAAAAATGCAATAGTTATTAAATAAGCCCAATTAGAGTAAAAACTGTCCGAAGTCTCCCCAGTCTCCCTTTTAACTTATTATTAATAATATCAATAACAACAAAACCATCGTTAAATGCGTGTCAAATATCTAATATGTATGTATACTCACCACGCCTATCCCTATTTAAGTCATGAATAAAATGGTTTTGTAGAAGTAAAAGAGTTTCTTTAAAACTATTGAATTTCCTAAAAGCATAATTAAAACTGTTTATTTTTTTATAACAAAAAGTTTTTAACAATTATAATTCCAGTTTTAATTTTTGTAGCTTATATAACATCAGCAGAAAGAAATATTTTAAGCTATAGTAAAAATAGAAATGCGATAAACTAAGTTAAGGATAGTTGGAATCTATATATTATAAAAACAATTAGCTAATGGCGTTAAATAATTTTCAAAAGAATTAATTATTCCTAATCATGCTAATGTTTTTAATTATCCACAAGAAAATATACACACAGCAAAAACCAAAGTTTATAATTTGATATAAAAAAAATCCTTTCTGACGAATAGTGTTTTGTTTCATTTTTTAAATATTATAACTGTAAAACACAAAGAGATTTCATTTATCATTTATTAACAGCGTTGTGGAAAATCTAGGTTATTATACATGCAGATATGTATCCATGTATTTATGTTTCCATGTAAGTTTTAATACGGTTATACTTTAGTTATTTTTAATGATCAATAATTGCGTTCTTTCCAAAATCATCACAAAATAAATCAATCAGAATTAATTCAGTTGTTTAATTTTAAAACATGTCTGCCATTCCTTCTTCAAAAAACCGCTTATAAACACTCATAAATTTAGCAACAAATGCTTCTAAATGATAAATAGCTTTAGTTCCAAGCTGAAGTCTGTGTTCATAATGCGCCGCAAGTTGCACGATTTCACACTTAAGGCTTCCATCACAATTTTTAACAAGTTCTCTTAAAAGTCCCTTAAAAAAAAAATTTAGTTTTAATTATTGCTGTAGATCAAAAAACCCACAAAAAATTAAAGCGTAATATTTATTAATCACATCAAACATTTAAAAGAATTACGTCTGTATTTTTTAAGGCTATATTACCAAAACATAAAAAATTATTCACCTTTATAATAACTTCTGCTGGAATACAATGAGTCAACAACTCATAGATCCTTGTTCGAATTTCCATCAATCTGTTAAAAAAATTTCCAACATAAATATTTTTTTCGTTTATTTAAAACAACTCTCGCTTTATCTGTGTTTTACATTAGACAAAAGATAATTTACCAATAAATTTATTACAGAGAAATACTAAAGAGAAAATCTTAACAAACCTTTGAGGCGTCTGTTGTTCAATAATCATATTTGCTGTCTGTTTTAAGTATGTTTCCCAATCTGCTTCTTGGATAGACTGATCCGCTGTAAATGGATACCTAATGTTAAATTGGTATTTTCGTAAAACTTTCAAGTATGAACCAATAATTAAGTACTGCATTCTCAAAAATGCTTATTGCTATTTCGCAAAATACACAAAGTAACTTATAGTAGTTGGCCAATAGCTAGCTAATATTTAAAATATATTTAAAATAATTATATTTAAAATAATTATAAAATTTTTATTTAAAATTAATATTTAAAATAATTATAAAATTTATATTATCCTAATAATTCAAGTGCGACTTGAAATGCACATTTTTAAATATCTGTTTCATCATAATTTTAATAGGATTTAATATGCTTATATAAGTTTTATACAATAGTAAGAAACAAAAAATTTTTGACAAATAAAAATTTACGAAATTTTGAAGAAATGCTGACCATTTTTAAAGCCTGATCACACTGAAAGTTTTTATTCGTATCTAAGTGACTGATATATATTTTCAGTTTTGAGATAAAGGCGGGAGAGGGGTGAGGAGGTCGTAATTAGCTTTGAGTTGGTGGGAAAAAATCAGAAAATTAATAAATGTTCCCTCTTCTGAATTAAGCACTTAAGAGTACCCTCATTAGGAGTAGCCACTACCATAGAGGCACAAGCGAAAACTCAGAAGTAGTGTCATGAACATCCTTCATTCATTACCCTAGGCAGAAAACAATGAATCACAGGTTTAAATTTACGCCAGCCTGTTAGATAAAAAAGGGATACAAGGCTAGTCAACAAAAATACTCTGCTTACTTCTAAAGCCTTTGCCTAGGACCTTCTACAAGATAATAGTCAGGCGCATTAACATCTGCCCAAGATGAGTATTTTTATTAGGACACAATCTTTTTTTACTTTAATTTTAAATCTGATTGAACTTCTCTTAGCTTTTTGTCAGCCAAACATGCAGCAGATGGTACAAAATTGCATGTTAGCAGAATAACCATGATGATCTTTATAATTAAGGGTTGTCCATACATTATGTCACACAATATTTGACATTTTTGGACCCCTTCCTACCCTCTAGTAACAAATTATCATGCTTTAATGACCTTCCCTCCAAAAATAACACAACAAATTTGTACCCCTTCCCCTACTTTAATTTTTTTTTGGTTTTTAATACGATACTATTTTTAATTTTCGTAGCTGCTTTTAGCTATCCAAAAAATAATTTTTAATTCATATAAATCTTAATAATTATTTTTAATATTACTTTGAAAGTCATTATTTGTATGCACGTACAAATAATAAACCCACAAAAAAACTATTATTTGTAGACAAAAAAATTTTAAATTATATTTTTATATTTTCTACAACTTTTTACCATCCCATTATAAATGCGGGAAGTGGCGTATACATATAATCTTTTTTGCACTCCAATAATTCAATTTAAAGTTGTATAAATTAATTAAACAGAAAAATTAAATTAATTAAACAGAAAAATAATCATTAAAGAAATTTAATTTTTGATAAATAAACCCTTGATATCACTTTTTTAACAACAAGTTAGTGTTGTAGTGCAAGTTATATTAACATGATATCTAATGCATATTAATTATTATTGTTGTTTAAATCATTATTATATTTTTTTTATTTGATAATTATACTAATTATCATTTTTTTTATAGATGATATATTAGCTTTATTGACTGATAAAGTCGCAGATGTTGCAAAGTCTACATTAATCTACTAAAAATTAAGTAACCTACTAAAAATTAACTCTTTTAATCAATATTTTTTCTAGATTTTCTAAAAAAACTTAAAAAAAAATGTTGCGTCAAAATTTGAATAACCTCGTCTCCCCTGTAACAAATCATCATAAAATTGCTAACCCCTCTCACCCCCTTATTGCACGACCTCTTATCCAAACTTACTGAAAAATATTACTGGATTTAATCAAACATATTGCTGCAACAACTTACTAGAACATATTATTGGAACAAATTACTGCTATATTTTACTGCAACATATCACTGCAGTAACTTATTGAAACATATTACTAGAACAAATTACTGCTTAATACTACAACATGTTACTGGAACATATCACCGCAACAACTTATTGGAACATATTACTGGAAAAAACTACTGCTATATATTAATGCAACATGTCACTGGAACATATTAGTGGAACAAATTACTTAAACATAATACTGGAACAAGTTGCTGCAAAAAAATTTTAGATTTTTTTTTCCTAATGCTTTTGCACAAAAAGTTTTTGAAATATGCTTAGATTGATTTTCTATTATAACTAACAACTATTTTGCACAAAACGTTTATGGTTAAAGCATGGGTTAACTGTTAATTAATTAGAATACATTTCAATGTGAAATTATGAAAGGAATTGAAAAAATGTTGTAAAAAATGCAAGCTAAATAAATTTTGTAACATTTAATATAGAGATGTGTTGAAATCAGTCCCCAATTCTGGGAACCCAGCTAAAAATACTAAGTCTACGTCTGAGTACCTGGCAATGTGTATATTTTACAGAGATTTTGAAATAAAAGCTTATGAAATGATTTTTTATGAAATTTAAAGTACCACAAACACTTATTTTAATAAAAATGTGTTATTTTATTATGTTTATATACTTTTTTATATCAAATTTATATTTTGGATATTATTGATCTTAATAAATTGATAAACAATCGAATAAGCAAAATGAAATGCATTTTGTTGGGATTTTGTCATGGTTTTATTTTGTTTGACCTTGGGGTTTTGGTTTGTGTTTTGTCATGATTATATTACGTAAACTATTATATCATCAATTACCAATAACATCAAGCCTTCTGAGAAAAGGCCTGTGGTCACACGGCATTTACCCAATAAAAAATTCTAAAATTAACAATTCTAAAACTAAAATATTCTAAAAAAAAATATTCTAAATTTAAATTTCTTAAAAAATTCTAAAAATCTAAAGTCTAAAACTCACTAAAACAAATCATATTAGAAATATAAAAACCTTTATAGAACTAATTAAATTTTAAACAAATTAAATTTTAAACTAATTAAGTTGTTCTACATTATCTGCCAATATTTTTTAAAGTTTATTAAATTATAAACTCTGTTGTTCTCCATTATTAGCAAATGGTTTTAGAGCTATAAAAGCATTTGTTAATTTATTTATCATTTTTTCTAATTTACACGACATCTAAAAGAAGCTGAGAGAAATCTATTTCTTGAATAACCTGAGTATTTAATTTAATTTTTTTTATAACTTGTGCTTTGCCAACAACTTAAATTTCTTCTGCCTCCATGTCTACTTTTCACCCGGTTTTCTTTCAGCTTTTAAAGCATGAAGAAAACAGAGTGAAAATTTTGTTTAAGCAACCATTGATGTTAAACATAGCAAAGACAGCTTTCACTGCAGAAAGAACCAATCATATCACAAGCTCCATGCAATTCTATTCATCTTTTTTTAACCCACATTTTAACAACATTGTCATTTGCATGTTAATATTCTAATTTATATCTTAGATGATGGTAACATATACAACATTTCATCAAGCAAAATTTTATCAAGTGTTTTATTAACAGGTTTTTTGCTCATAGATCATTGTAATAGTCCTAATTATTTGCTCCATTTTTTTGTTGATAATTATTGTATTTGCTACTATTTAGATAGCTGGTACCACTTTTCATGGTAACAGTTATCCAAATACCTATTGCCAGAGACAAACAGTTAGCCCCTGAGATTTTTATTTGTATTTCTTCAAACAGTTCAGTATACATTGTAGGAACTACATTTTGACTATATGTTCTACATAATAGTATATATTTGAAGTAAACATCTGTTATCAGTTCAATGAATAAAACATTTTCAATATAGCAAAATGGTTAAACATCAAGTGTGATCATTTTTCTATAGTTTTATGGATTTAAACCAATCTGTGGTCATAGATATGCAATTATTTTTTCTCTGCAAGGTTTAAATAAAGTTAGTATGCACTTCATCATAGCTGATAGAAGCAAATGAGGATTTGGAAGAAGTGGGAGAGAGAAATGATTGAATCATACTTTTCTCCTCTAGTTCAGACTCTTCTTTAAGCTTTAAATATTTTACCATTGCTGAAGTTTCATAAGACCCTTATGCTTTTTTTCCTCTTGTAACTACACTATTGCATCGTTTATACTTGCATGTATGAGGCGTAGTGTTTATATCGATGAACTTCACTTCAGGTACCTGGAAAACTGGCAAAATACTGGGCTCCAATTTGGATACCCGGTATACATTTAATATGATGTTTAAAAATCTTACAGTTTTTTAAAGCAGATATTTTTATTTTTTTTTATTTTTAATAACTCTATTTTTAAATTTTGAATATATTTATTTCATATTTGAATTAAAAATAAAACATTAATTCCTAAAACTAAATGTTACTTCATTTTTTTTGAATAATTTCTGCTCTAAAGAAGTTTTATCTTGATAAAAAAATTTACATTAATACCATATTTAACCCAAAAATTAATATCTAACATACTGTTGAACTCTACATGCTTCACACATCAATAATGCTCTTCTCATGTTTCCTTCAGCCTTTTGAGCGATTCTATTAGCTAATTCACTGGGAAGATTCAGGCCTTCTTTTTTACATACACTATTAAGTGTTTGCACTACCTAAAATCAACACAAAAAATTAAAAATTCTAAAATGTTTTAAATTATAAATAATAACTGTAAATTTATACTTATAGTTAATATCCAACTTGTATATTTATAAATTTTACAAACAGTAGACTCCTGGTTTATCTATCTGGCACTTATTTGAGGTTCAAGTTTATTTAATGCAATTTTTAAAATTTTTCAAAATAATTTTTTTTTCAATGTTAATTCACCTCACCAAAGCTGAGAAGACCACTACAGACAAGGAAGCTACTTAATTGTGGTTACAACCCTCTCTTAACTCTATAACTCCAAAAGACAAATCTTGACGAACAAGGTCACTGTGCTGAGAAACAAGTTGAGCATGGTACTACCAGGGACATGGTGGGGATTGAACTCGGAACCTCTCGCTTATGAAACAAGCACTCTACCACTACATCACTACTGTATTTAAAAATACTTTATTTAGTCTAAAACAACAGTTTTTACAACTTCCAAACTTTTTAAATAAAACTGTTTTACAATTGTGAAATGTAGCAGACAAGACTCATACCTTTGTTATCACAAGTTTACATTCTTGTATTTTTAATGTGACAAATATTCAAGTTTGTTCTTAAAAAGATAAATCCATTTTAGTCAATAAACAATTTCTCTAATTAGCAAAAACTAATAACTATAATGACTAACATCAAAGATTGCACAACATCCTTGTTAGAGCCTTATATGACGCTTCCTAAAAAGATTAAAATAATCAAAGATTGTACAACCAATAGCTGATCTTTTTTCGAAAGTGGCCTCAAATAAAATCAGATAAGAGTCTTATATTGAGAAGAGGTTTGGTAAAGACTTGTTAGAAAAAAAAATTTTCAAAAATTTAGAAAACATGTTACAAGGACTTAATATTAATTTAATATTTACAAGGACTTGATATTAATTTATGAAGATATTCCAAATGTCAGCTTTTTTTATATACAAAAATTCTTTAAAAATTTGATAGTAATTTATAAAAGATCAACTCAAGGTGGATTTTAAGTTATTCAAAATTTCTGTTTGTTAAATTCTTACTCCCTGTGGAGGTTTAAATAACCAGGAGTTTACTGTATTTTTATTTAACCAAACAAACCTCTTCAGTGCTGGGAGAAGGTACACGAATACCAAGACAACGACTTTGAATAGCAGAGATTACTTTGCTAGTTGAGTTGCAACATAAAATTAGCCGACAAGTAGCAACATATTTTTCCATGGTTCTGCGCAAAGCATGCTGGGCATCTTTTGTTAATCTATCTACTTCCATTAAAAGTATAACTAAAAGCAAAATAATTTTGACAATATACAAAGGTAAAAGGTATTTTTCTAAAATAGTGTAGATAGAGACAGAAGATTAATGGAGTGTTATTTTTTTCTCAAGGTTTTTCTCAGGCTCAAATTAAATGATCGCAAATTGCAATATCTGGAAATGGTTCTGGTCTTTAAATTCTTAGTTTTTTAAAAACTGTAAACTTAGTTTTTATCACTTAACTCAATAGTTTTATTTTATAAAGAATATTTATATTGACCTTAAAATTATGATATAAAATCTCATTATAAAACCATATTATTATTACTATTATTATTATTATAATTATTGTTATTAAAAATGAAGATATAATCTTAATTTATTTTAATTAATTTGATAAATCATCAGATGAAACTAAAAAAAAATAAAGCTGTTAAATATTAAAAATAAAATAACCGCATATCATAACAGTCTTGAGAAATTTTTTTGTGATCAAATATTTTAAATAAAAGAATGAAAATAGATATTAAATTCTTACATATTTTTTTATAAATCAAATATAACTGTCAATTAAATGCTGATTAACGCAGATATTTATATAAAATTACGAGGAGTTAAAAAACATAAAAAATGATATTAAACCACTTATATTTTAAAACAAAATTCATATTTTAAAATATATTTTGAAATGCCTACTTTTATTAAAACATATTATTAATTTTATTATCAATTAATTAATTTCTAATTTTTAAAAACATAAATTTTCAAATAAATATGTCTTCAATGTTTCCCCCTAAACAAAAATTGGATTTTAATGTTTCATACAATGTGCAAACAGCTTTAGTATAACTTTTTACTGGTTGATTTTTAAATCTTTGTACATATTTTTCGGAACTTTAGTTCTTTTTTCTTTTTCTTATAGCTTTTAAAATTTATTTATAATACTTAAATTAACTGGTGTTTAAACAAAGGATACATTTATGTAAGTTTTAACTGTTATTATTTAAGTCTATAAAATTATTTTTTATTTTAAATATGTGTTTTTTTATAATAAACAAAAAACTATCAATTACAAAGTTATTTGGAAAAAAAATTGCTGAATGCATTTGTTTTAAAAAATCTTAATCAAACGCCAACATTTGCATAAGAAAAAGTGAAGAAACGTGACATTTTTTTAAACGTTGTTTAAAAAAAAAAAAAACTGCTTTTTTATTTTTTATTTTTTTATGGCATTTATATATACTAGCTGTCATGACCCGTAAAATACGGGTCTTTAGGATATTGATGCACACTTTATCCGCGTGCTTACAGTTCATAAGAACTATTATCCGGTTTATAACGCAAGAAAATCTCAATCAAATGAAAACATCTAAATGATAACTTTTAATGTCCTAGATATGAAGATTAAACTTATTGATTGCGTAAACACTAACTTTAACATAAATGGCATTTGCGAGACACTTCTTGCAACGAAAAAACAAACTTTTGAAATTTGTGAACGATTTTTTTTCTCTCGTTAGCGAAGTTGGTTCTGTGTCAAAATGCGAGGATCAAACTTTTGATTAATATCTTTATATATGTTGTCTATATACAATATCTATAAAACTTTATAAGTATTTGAATTTGTATTTAAAAAAATCTAAAAAAAAAATTAAAACAGCAGCCTACGGTAGGACTCGAACCACGGCAGCTATGTTCTGAAGCCCAGCGCGCTAACCACTCGACTACGCTAACGCATTAAATGATAAAGATTCAAAATTATATAAAAATTGTTTTTAACAAATATAAATGCAAAAGATTAGAAATCGGTTTTATGCTAATATTAAATAGTTTAACTTTTAATTATTTTTAGAAACAATAAATTTTATAAAATAATTTAGTGTACATATAAAATTAAAATCTTTAATTATGTTCTAAATAAAAATATACTTTTTAAGCCCCCTTACCATTTTAAAAAAAAGTTATGGTTGCCGCGTGGCAAGTTCATCAGCTTGGCACGCGGTTTTGTTGTTTAAAATGCAAATCAAAAGTTGTATAGATTTTATATTCTATATATAAACATGTTTTTTACTAATTTTCCTTGCTCAATTTAGTTGTAAATAAACTTGAAAAGTTTAACTAAAATAACATGAGTATCTCAATAATAACACATGCGCAAAAAAAATAAAAAAGTAGGTCACCGATGGTAGGACTTGAACCACGGCTGACTTGGTCAGAAGCCCAGCGCACTAACCACTCTACTACGCTGTCACGTAGTGTCTTGAAGATTTCAAATTATATAAAAATTGTTTTTTAACGGATAAAAACACAAAAGATTAGAAATTAAGCAAAGGTTGACGAAATGCAGTTCTTAAGTGAAAATCAAACTGTTGAACTTGATATATGTTTAAGCATGTTTTAACATTACATAACATGAAGTTTATGTACGTACAATATGAGTTTCACGTTTGCTCGCGTTTTCTAATAAAGCAAAGGTAAGACTCTTTCTCATCACTACCTCGGATGCAATGGTTGCCAAGAGTATCGTGTCAAACAAGCTCGAAAGCGCACTACTACTACTACTACTACTACTACTACTACTACTACTACTACTACTACTACTACTACTACTACTACTACTATTAAGTCCAGTATTATTAAATATAATATATTATATTTACATGGCTAACAGCCTAATTTACTTTTAAAAATTGTGCTGTATTAAATATATCAATTTTTAAAAGAATAAAAAACAAATCTTAAGGTGGGGCCGACACCCACACGGTCCTACCCTCACTATGGATCCGCCTTTGTATGAGCCTATTTACTCATGAGAGGGAATGATAAATATTGATCGAGCTGTGATAATTTTTATTTCATTTTTTGCTTACAATTAAGTTGACATTAAATGTTTTAAATTTTTTATATTTTTTTTCTATTTATTTTGTCATTCCTTAAGATTTTTTTTTTAGATTTTATTCTCTTTTTAGTTTATGGATTGCTTATTTTAATTTAAGTTTGCTTTGTTATTTTATCATCAAAGCGCTAACTATCAAAACTTGCAAGGAGCAGTGTCCTTGCAAGTTATTATATGCGTGGTCAAATAAGGCATGCGACCACACGCCTCTTACACAAAGGCCTGAATGTCTATTGTTATTTTCAAAGTTATTCACAAAACTACTTATAATTTTACCTTTAAAAGATTTCTGTGATGTAGAATCTAGTTGATGAGTTTGCGCTGTTGTTTTTATTAGCTCTTGAATTACAACACGATCATAAATTCCAGCATCGCTAAATTTTATTTTTAAAAAATTACATATAAATCTTTTTATTTAAAAAAATCACCAGTCATCTTATTTTTAAAAAAATCTAATAAAAGTCAATTTATTTAAAAAAAAATCTAATATAAATAATCTAATAAAGCCATTTTTTAAATGTAAGTATGGATGAATAAGCCATAACTGCAATTTATGAAAACAGCTAATTTAAAAAAAACTTATATTTCAATTTTACTGCTATTTGTCCAGACAAAAGCAAACATATATTATTTACATGAATACACATAATATATTATTTCTAACAACTTTGTACCTGGGATTTATTTCAATATGGTAGTTGCTACTAATTGAAGATATTTCGATTTTCTTTTTAGAGGGTGTCTAAACAATAAATTTCACATAACTTAATAATGAACAACTTTTTAATTTCACATGATACAAATAAAGCTTAAGTTCAACCAGTCTAAATTTACACAGTAATCATCTGATTTGTGCACTCTTTGATAAGTTTTGAGATGAGGAAAGGATTATACTAAACTGGACAATAGATTCATCATCTATGTAAAAAATTAAAGAAAAAAAAAAAAAACTTGGTCCCATTCCTTTATTTTACCACTATTTAGTAGCATCATTTTATAAGCTTTCATTTACTGTTAAATTAAAAAAACTTAATTTTTCTAACAATTCAGTTTTTATTATTAATAGAACTATATAAAAAATACCTGGCATCTTTAAAAAGATTTTGGTTATAAATTATTTAAATAATTCATCACCAATTTAAGAAAACAAAATTGCTCAACCGACAATTACAATAGATTAATAAACATGAAAACATAATAAACATTATAATTAGACTGATTTAACTTTAGATGACAATAAAATTTGATAATAAAATTAAGATTAATAAATTTTATTTTATATTGAAGGTGGATGAAAAAAAAAGGATCAAATAATAAAGATTGGCATTTTTTACTAAAGGCTGGGTCATTTTCGCAAAATAAAAAAATAAAAATAATAACAGCACACAAAAAAAGGCCTTATAAAACTTCCTCAAACTCACAAATATGAAGTTTTTAAAACAAAAGCTAATAGAAAATTATTTTGTAGTGGATTAAAGTATAATTTACATTACGCATAATAAACTACTATAATATATAATTTTTATACATTTACAACATGTTTAATATTCTACAAACATTTTATCAAACAAATTATTAAAAAAAAACACACACATTTAAAATGTTATTATGAATCTCAAACTTTAAAAAATTTATTTTGTTCTATATATGTTTGTTTTATGCACACCTTTTTAAATTTTAAAATTTCTTTTTTTAATAAACAGATTACAAAAATCAATAAATACCATTAAAAAAAAAAAAAATATCAAGTATTCATATAAACTAAAAAAAAAAAAAAAAAAAACAATATTTAATACCAATTTAAAATAAAGTTTATTTATTTTAATATCTTAAAAAAAGATAATAATATCCTAAATAAATTACCAAATAACTCTGTTGTTCCAATTTCACCTTCTCTACACCGGCTCCATACAATTCTCTTAATATACACATAATTCTTGTCTTTTTTCCTGCTCCTGAGGGACCATATATCAAAAGATGAGGGAAATCAGCATTGTTTACCTGTCAATTTTATAGAATTAAAATTTAATTTATACAACTATATACTAAATTTATATATAAGTTCTAACTTCTATTTTTTTGATAATTTTGTAACAAATTTTGGAAAAGAAATATAAGACGCAATACATATTTAACAATAATGCACATATGTTAGTTACATAATCATATTTAATATATATATATATAGGCTTTGTTAAGAAGTGTTACGCTGTTTGCATTTTACATACGAAATGGCAATTATATCTACATTTTAAGCCATTTAAGTTATGACAAAGCTTTTTTCAACTTGAATATTTTAATAACTTTTTGAAATGGTTTTATTTAAGCAGTAATTAATTGTTTTGAAAAAAAATTTTCAATGGACTTTTAAAACATATATTTTTTTGATATAAAAAACTACTGTGGAGCAGAGAGCATATTAGATTTGAGATTTAGAGTGTCACCTGGGATTTTTTTACTGATAAAGTACTGCTTTCATTATACTAACATGACTTAATCATATTTAAAATTAGCTTCACTTGCTAAGAGTAAAAAAACACAAATTCTGAACCTCCTCCCCCAATTAAAAATGAGGCCGTTTTTAATTTTAGTTAGCCACAACTCCTGAATGCTGAACTATTTTTTGATGCTATTTGATTTTTATTGATTTTTTTTAATTTAGTTTATGTCAGTATAAAATTTTTTCTTGAAAATACATTTAACTAAGGTGGGCATGGGTTATCTAAATTTTTGGGTTTTATTTGTACTCAAAAAAAATTTGCTTCAATCCCATGACTTTTTCAAAGACAGCTTTATATAACAATAAAATGAAATTTTTACTGAGTTTAATTTCTATATAAAATTAAGTATTATAATCTTTCAATTACAAAATCAACAACAGCAGCTTTCAATTTATCTCCATAATATTTATGAATCTGTACATGATTCTACATACTTTGACAAGCTGCATACTGCATAGTTTACAAAACGAAAAACATGGAAAAACACTAAAGGTTTCATTTTCCATGAAACCTTTAGTGTCTTTTCAACCAAAGAAGTTGTTTCTTGTAGGCATAGAAAAGCATCACTAAACAATGATATTTTGTGTTCTGAGTCAGAATCAAGATTTTTTTTCAAAACAAGCTTTTTTTACAGATTTAAAAGTTCTTAATTTTTGAACTACAAAAATGAAAGTACTTTAAGTTGCACTTCAAATTTAAGTGAATCAAACAACATTAAAATTTTATTTGCATTACCATCCCATCCAACTACAGGATATCATTTTTAAATTATGTAGTGTTTTTTTAAACCACAACTCAAAACCATTCAATTAAAAGAAATCTTGCTATCTTAATCACTACTCGAATAAGAAGTTGTAGCTCAGGCAGAGCAACTAAATTTTCTAGAAAAGTATTTTTATCCGTGTTAAGATATACATGTATTTGTTCACAGTATTATCAAATTCCTTCATGGAAGATCTGATATATCCATTTTTAATATATGCTTCATATCAGGAATCAAGATCGCTAATAGTTCTAAGAGTTCCTATATCAAGTTAACATTTGCCACTACAACACAAGCAAGCTTTTTACCTGTGTGTGATGAAAGACCAAATAATACATTAGCAGATTTAAGATCAAAAGCAAATTTAACTTCCTCTACATGATAAAATTCATCAAGTTGTACTTTAAAATTATCTAGTTTTTGAACTATATTTCCTTCAACAGAGTCTCTTACATTTAATCCAGTTCTAATTGTATAAAAAAGTTTTTTTGTTACATTGTCAGAAAGTTCAAGGGAGACATGCAGTTCCATTCTGTTTGAAGAGAAAGGTGTTTACTACATCAGTTACTCTTTAAATTGGGATCTCCAACTTTAATAGAGATAGGTGTTCCACATGTTTTTAGTTTGAAAACTGTTCCTTTTTTTATACATTCGCTCTTTATCTTTTTTTAAATTAAAGCATGGCTATTTTTTCTGTATATTCTCCTAGTTGTAAACAGTGGCAAATCAAGTTGTCTACAACAGCAGCTTGTGTACACTGATGAGAAACGCCTCTCCCAGTAACAAGAAAACAAATACTGCATACTTTTCAAGATACTTTCAGGCAGTAAATTCTGGAATACTGATATCCAAACATGGATCTGAAGATCGCCTTTGGTTGGCATAATCAATCTAAAGCATTTCAGACTACAAACTAACAAATTTCAACTACAACTTAAAAATAATTATGCAAAGAGATTGCTTTGTAATAATTGTATTGTTATCTAAATATATATTATATGTAATCATTTGTTGTATTTACTGCCACCAGTTTCCTATAGTCTATAATAATGTTTAAATGTATAATATTTTAATGCTATGTAAAAAAGTTTAATTTTTTTTTGTGAATATATATTATAACACATACACAAAAAATTTTTTACATAACATTGAAATATTATACATTTATAGTTATAATTAGTTGTATTTATAATTAGTTGTAAGAATTAAATCTTAAAACTATGAAAAAATTTGTCAACTGCTCACTTTAATTTTACTATATATATATATATATATATATATATATATATATATATATATATATATATATATATATATATATATATATATATATATATATATATATATATATATATATATATATATATATATATATATATATATATATATATATATATATCAGTGTGGAAAATAAGAAATAGAAGGTGAGCGGTCAATTCAACTGGCTAACACATGGAATTGATAGTCAATTCTTTTTATGGTCAGTCAAAATTTTTAATTTTTTTTTTTCATTCAAGTTTTTATCTTGGTAAAAGTATCTTATGAATAAACTTTATAAATACAATAACTTAATGCTTGAAAATTAAGAAACTCATTCCTTTTAAAATGATAGTTTTAAATAAAATCAATGAACTTTTTAAATGGAAACTCTCAAAAAACTAACGTTCAAATTACCTGCTAATGTTAATAGTAAAATAACTGTTAAAAATGTTTATAACAAACAACTCTCACACGCACACTTTTTTATTCAATTAAAAAAGGAAGTTGAGTAACATCCAAATAATTGAAACCAATTCATGTTGAATATTTTTTTAATATCAAAGCAATTTTTATAAAACATTAAAAAAATTTAAACTAAATACTTAATACTTAATAAAAAAGAAATAATTTTATGAAATGTTACTATAGCAATTACTTATGTTACATAATATTACAACTACATTATGCTACATAAAACAAAGTTTTTACAAAAAACTTATTTTATAATTTTTTCGTCTAACATTTTGATTAATTGATTAATAGACTTTGCAAATGGCAGAAAAAAGCAACAACAACAAAAAAAAAGTTTGAATGAAAAAAACAAAAGTACAAAAACAAAAAAAGTACAGTTAAAAGAGAAAATGTTTATAGTTACATGCAACAATTTCAGATAATAAAAAAATAAGTACTTTAAAAATGATTAAAATCATTTTCAAAACTGATAATGCTAATTAGTTAATAATAACGCCATTAACTTAATGTGCAGATACTATTTAAACTAAATACTTAATATTAAGAAGACAATCATTTTATAAAACTTTTTTTTTTTTTTTAACATCTTCGCTTCCAACAAGGCTGCAAGCAACCACTAATTAGTGTTGGAAGTTACTGGAAGAGAAAAGATGAAGATTGTAGAGCAAGATAACGATTGACAGACGACTTAAAAGATTGCAACTTTTATGAATCAAGAAAGCAAGATGAAGGAAGCGAACTCCAAAGAACTGATGTTCAGGAAAAAAACTAGACGAATAAGAGTTTTTGGAGCACTTAGGAACAGTAATAGAAAAAGGATGAGACTTAATTGAATGACGAGTAACACGAGAATGAATTTTAGTAGATGGCACAAGAGACGCTAGCTCTTTAGAGCAGTGCCCATTATAGTATTTGTAGAAAAGAGAAAGAGAAGCAACATTACGACCATGTGACAGAGGTTGAAGGTTGGCTGCAAGAGCAGATCCAACTATGTTTACAATGCATTTTTGCACCTTGTCTAAAAGAGAAAGGACATTATTAGAAAATCCGCCCCAGATATGGCAACAGTATTCCATACAAGGTCGGATTTGAGATTTATAGAGATAGAGAATAGAATCCAGAGTAAGAAAGTGTCAAGCTCGATAAAGAGATGCAACTTTAGCAGAAACTATAAAAATTACACAAAACAAGATTTTTACTAAGAATCCTATTATAAAAAAAAGTGCCAACATGCAATTAGTAATTTTAAATTTAATTATAAACCATTCATTCAATTATTGCAAATTGCACCTAAAATAAAAAGATTTAATTAAAATACCAAAACTAAGTGACTAAGTAAAATTGAAAGAAAGAATAAGTACAATTGAAAAAACTGAGCACAATTGAAAAAAAAAAAAAAGTTAAAAAAGCAATTATTATACATTATTATATTATTGATAAAATAATATATTGAATATTTTTTTGATAATAATAATAAAGTTAAAACTTCAACCATTTATGAAAAAATATTTTCACTACCAGTAAAATAAAAACAATCTAAATAAGTTGAGCAAAAAAATTAACAGATCTAGTTTGTATCATATATAATACTTGCCAATTAAGCGAATTAAAGTAGCTTATCAAAAAAGAAATTGCCGAACTAAAATCGTTTATATGTGGTAACAGGTTGGCACAAAATTTTCAAACAGGGTTTGACAAATTGACAAATGTGTGAACATTTAGCATAGAATTGATATAAAAACAATTGCCAAGTTTTCAATCACCAACTTTTCTTTGCTTAAATATTTGCTTAAATATTTATAAAACGAACAAAAGTTTTACCAATTTTATTTAATCAATTTATTAAAAACTAGTTTTTCCATTTTTAATTTAATTGCTTTGAATAAAAATAAGGAATTTAAATAAAAAGTTCATTTTACTGTTTTATTTTAACTATTTTACAAGGAACTCAAAAAAAAAAAAAAAGTTTGTTTTTCCTTTTTTTTTTTGTAACATTTATTTTAAAA